AATGTGAAGCATGGCTCCGCAGGAAGAGCACAGTTCTTTTTTATTATTAGCGGAGTTCTACTGGAACCCAGTGACTTCCACTCAGACCCAGAAGGTCCGGTGTTATGCCGAGAAATGCATGCCTGCCGAGAATTGCATCCCCTGTCGCGGGAGCGCGCATCGCTCTAAACTCTCGCATATTGACGAGTAAACGGGCTGAAATCCGACCGAAGAGGAAACTTTTAAAAATATTGGTAACATTATCACGTTTATTAATCATGTAAGCGCTAAAATTGTGGGTTTTACTTCGCAAATTAATTAAAATAAACACTGATTTTTTTACGTTTATTGAGCCATATTTGTCGAACGTTCTTCAGTGTCTGATGAACAAGTTCTCCGCAGCTGCTTTGAAATTCCAAGATTTTTCTTTTAACACCATAATAGCTTAAAACTTTACAAAACCGAGGCCCAATCCCAATTACGTAGAACATTTTATATTACGCTTAGCTGTCTAGTGTATTAATGTAGGGGAGATGCGTTTTAATTTCTGAGCCTGCTAATATTTGCATCCCCTGTCTATTGTCCTGTTCATATGAAACTTATAGTGGTAACTCAGGGAACAAGTGTCATTATGTAGAAAAAATGTAATTTCCAAGTTAGCAGGGGATGCAATTTTTGGCAATATGGATTTCTAGCTTGCCAAAATTTGCATCCCCCAAGTTTTCATCAAATATGATCCAATTGAGGTGAAACTCATACCAGCAGTTCTTACAACTACTCTGGTCATGTAGGACAAGTTATTTCACTCTTAACTCTTTATTTCTCAGAGTTAGCAGGGGGTGCAACTTTTGGCAATATGGATTTCTAGCTTGCCAAAATTTGCATCCCCCCCTGTTTTCATGAAATATTTTCGAAATGATAGTAAATTAATTCCAGTAGTTCATAGAACTACTCTGGTCATGTAGAAAAGGTTATTTCACTCTTAACTCGTTATTTATCCAAGTTAGCAGGGGATGCAATTTTTGGCAATATGGATTTTTAGCTTGCCAAAAATTGTATCCCCTCTATTTTTATCAAATATGATTCAATTGAGGTGAAACTCATACCAGTAGTTCATAGAACTACTCTGGTTATGTAGAAAAGTTGTTTCACTCTTAATTTTTTATTTGTACACGTTAGCAGGGGGATGCGTTTTATGGCACAGCCTGTTATCAACCTGCCAAAATATGCTTTCCCTCTCTTTTTTCCTCAAATGTTATCCTATTGATATGAAACTCATACCAGCAATTGAGGGAACAAATGTGATTATATAGAAAAAGCTATTTCACTCATAACTGTTTGTTTTTTTAAGCTTGGGGGGATGCATTTTTTGGCATAGCAAATTATGAGCTGCCGATATTTGCATGCCCTTTTTTTCAGCTCAAAAGTGTCGTACAGATTTGAAAGTCACTCTAGTAGCTCAGAGCATACGTGTCATTGTCTAGAACATTTCATATAACACATTACTATCCTAATTCTCCAAATTGCAGGACATGCATTTTCTGACAATTTTCATTTTGAGCACATTCTCAGATGCATTCAATAATATTTGATGACAATAGCGGGGATGCAGATTTTGGCAACCTGAAATTCCACATTGCCTGAAAATGCATCCCCCTGTTAACTTGGAGAAACACAGAGTTAAGAGTGAAATAACTTGTCCTACATGACCAGAGTAGTTGTAAGAACTGCTGGTATGAGTTTCACCTCAATTGGATCATATTTGATGAAAACTTGGGGGATGCAAATTTTGGCAAGCTAGAAATCCATATTGCCAAAAATTGCATCCCCTGCTAACTTGGAAATTACATTTTTTCTACATAATGACACTTGTTCCCTGAGTTACCACTATAAGTTTCATATGAACAGGACAATAGACAGGGGATGCAAATATTAGCAGGCTCAGAAATTAAAATGCATCTCCCCTACATTAATATACTAGACAGCTAAGCGTAATATAAAATGTTCTACGTAATTGGGATTGGGCCTCGGTTTTGTAAAGTTTTAAGCTATTATGGTGTTAAAAGAAAAATCTTGGAATTTCAAAGCAGCTGCGGAGAACTTGTTCATCAGACACTGAAGAACGTTCGACAAATATGGCTCAATAAACGTAAAAAAATCAGTGTTTATTTTAATTAATTTGCGAAGTAAAACCCACAATTTTAGCGCTTACATGATTAATAAACGTGATAATGTTACCAATATTTTTAAAAGTTTCCTCTTCGGTCGGATTTCAGCCCGTTTACTCGTCAATATGCGAGAGTTTAGAGCGATGCGCGCTCCCGCGACAGGGGATGCAATTCTCGGCAGGCATGCATTTCTCGGCATAACACCTGTTCTGACCGCTTTTCTTCCCAACTAATGAAGCGGGTTGGAGTTCATCTGGCCCGAAGAGGCATGTGGCGCCCTCTGCTGATCATATCGGAGAAGACACCAGAAGTCTGAAACGAAGTCTAAATTTGGGCTGGTTTCCATTACAACCCGACATGAGTCTGGACATTTATCTGGTTCTGCTGCAGAAGGGATTCGGGTCCAGGTTCACACTGGTCAGACCGGTACCAGCATGCAGACAGGAGCTGCGTGTGTGTGTGTGTGTGTGTGTGTGTGTGTGTGTGTGTGTGTGTGTGTGTGTGTGTGTGTGTGTGTGTGTGTGAGAGAGAGAGAGGGGGGGTGCGGGAGGCATAAATAGGGACATTTTTAAGCAATTTTGGGTCGGTCAGCAAAGTTACAGTGAAATGTATCATAAAATCCGTTTTAAAAAGTATTTATTGTGTTCAAGCTTGTTGAAATAGAATTTTAAAAGTAGCACAATAGTATACAAGTTAACTTTTAGGTTAAGATAAACTTAGATACAGATCCAAGCTAAGACAACTGGTGACTCTCTGAACTTACATAATTCCTAATCAGAAAGCAGTCTTATACTCCTTAAGGAACATTTCAGACAGGGAGTGTATTGGCTATCAGGGCAATAAATTCTTTACTCAGGGTTGAATAGTTCAGGCAAACACTAAAAACTATAGAAGTCCATTACAACATATAATCAGACATATTAATATATTTCTTTAAGCATTAAAAAGCATGTTTTTAATTAGTTTTAGATCCAACTTATAGTCATTATTAAGCATTACATTTTGTGCGAGTTTGTTTAAAAAACACCAACTGGTTTCTAGTTGAATCATTTTGAGGCAGAGATAACGTTCCAGACCCACGCTATAAATCAGATCGCCTAAAGGAGCCTGGTACGAGAAGAGCTGGGTGTTTCAGTGGGTCTCAGAGGTAATAAAATTAACATTAAGACAGCCCACAAAGAAAACACACCTCCTAATGCATATATTTAAATGAGGAGAATACACATTATTATAAAATGGTTTGTTTTGCAGCAGAAGTTTGAATCTCTTTGTGCTGAGTGAGAGTTTCCCAGAAGATGCATCTTTTGTCTTTTTACTCAGTTAATTGTTTCTGTTTTGTCACATCTTGGACTTTTGATATTCTAGGTGAGATGCTTATTGTAACATTCTTCTTGCATTGATTTTCTCTGGATAAAACTCTGGATATCTGAAGTCTGACGTCATATGATTGCTCTTTCTCCTGCACATTTATACAGACACAAGAATTCAGGAAAAAAGAGGAATGAATTAACGAGCTAAATCAAGTTATTCCTCTTTTTACTTCTCAAGAAGCTGCAGGACCAAAATGACTAATAAGTTCTAAAGCACATCAAAGATGTTTTTGTCTGTAAGCAAACTACTGAGAACCAGAAAGGTCAAACTAAAACATAAATGTTTAGATATGAGCTTATTCAGTGGCATAGATAAAATCACCTTTACACAAATTTAAGACAATAAAAAACAAGTTTTAATGAATGACTCCACTTGATAAAATTTCTCATAAACATTGACTCTAAATGTATTTATGTTGAAGTCTGTAGTGGTTCTGCCATGTCCTGAGAACCTATAGAGATAATAAATGCATATGCTGCACACTTAATAATAAACTAGTGTGATTTCTGCAGGTAGAGATAGTGATTGACAGCGCTAAAACTCTCCTGTCTCTGATTGGTTGTTTCTAGATAGCAGAGGAAATAGATTTTTCACAGATTTTTTCTATACCATACTGTCAACATGACAGTTTTAACAAACATGTAAAATAACATGTTTTATCAAAGTTACTGCAGCTTTAATTTCACTCGGCAGAGGAAGGACTAGAGCTGCTGCTGACCAACTCACCTGTTGTCAAGTAGTAAAAGGTTCAAGTTAAATATATCAATATGTTGGTAATTTCTTTCCTTAATTCATTAAATGCTAGTGAAAAGGAGGCTAACAGTCTGTAGCTAAGCTAACTATGCTAAAGGTTGATAATCTCACACAGTCTACCTGCCTCTCGGACAAAAACTGGGTTACGAATTCACACTTTTATTTTGAAAACCTGATTTTATTATTTTCTTAGCAGGACAGTAACAGGCTCAGTGGTTCTTGCTGCTGAACACCTGCAGCTCCAAACAGGAAGGAACCGTTTCCTGCAGATCCAGGGGCTTCAGGGCAAATGTGTGTTTTTGGTCTGGGAGGGGGAACATTTCATTTTTATTGCTAAAAACAATCTTAGAAAACACTATAGGATTAATTTTGTAATTGACAGGGCCACTTTTTTTTTTTTTAATTCTATGAACACATTAAAAAAATAAATTGTGGAGGCCCCCTGATGGTCAGGGGCCATCCAAGTTCCCCCTATACAACGCCCGGCCAATCAGCACACCACTAATTTTAATCAATAATAATACCCAGAAGAAATATTTCTAATTTGAACAAAACTAAACTGAAACAGTAGCAGCCCACCCAACACACAAAACAGATAAAATTAGACCAGCAGCTTTTACCTCCTCAGAAGTGAAATCTCCGTGTGTCTCCTTCTAAAAAGATGTCGCCTTCAAAGATGAGGAATCAGAATCAAAACCAACCTCTCAGTTTTGGCGATCTACCTGCCTCCATAATGAGTCAGCTCTGTCACAGCGTCTTCCATATATGGGCAATAGGAAGAGTGCGCAGGAACATGCTTCCGGGGACAAAATGCCTCAGCTAGACATTTATTCATGTCGCCTGCGGATACACAAACAGATAGTGGAAGCGAACTCGTGAAATATCATTTCTGCTGTCTGAGCGCATTTCTACATAAAACTCATCTACAAACTCCTGACCAATCACATATCACGTCCACCGGTTCTGGGTTGAAACAGTTCAACAAACAGCAGATACCTTTGTGCAACAAGAGGACAGTTCAGGTAGACGGAGAGTCTTCCCTGCAGTCGGACCACCTAACGAGTCCAGCGCTAAATATGGCGAGCTAGCCAGGAGTTACTTTGTGAGCGGAGGCTCTGAACTATATGCTCAGGACACCAGAACTGGACTTTGAAATTATTTTTAAATTTCAGCAGAAGCCCAAAATATGACTTATTAGCACCGACCAAATTTATTCCCTAAAGGAATTTTATGCTCCTACAAACACAATGACTTAAGAAGCTCCTTCTGTTTCCCAGTTTCTTCTTCTGAATAAAATCAGCAGGTGCACCTAAACGTTGTCTTCTCTATGTTGCCTCATGTGAGCGGCCAGCTTGCCGCTCTGAGTGAAGCCCTTTTGGCAGACTTTGCAGGAAAAGGGCCGCTCCCACGTGTGTGTGGTCATGTGGCCCGTCAGGCTCCGGTTCTCTGCAAAGCTCCTCCCACAAATGCAGCAGGAGAAGGGCTTCTCGCCCGTGTGGGTCCTGGCATGAGTGGTCAGATTGCGTTTGTCTGTGAAGGCCTTGTGACAGGTGTCGCAGGAGAAGGGCCTCTCGCCTGTGTGCGTTCTGACGTGGGCGGTCAGGCCGCGGTTCTCACTGAAGCTCTTTCCACACATTCGGCAGGAGTAGGGTTTCTCCCCGGTGTGGGTCCTCATGTGGGTGGTCAGGTGGCAACTGCGGGCGAAGCTCCAGGAGCAGATCTTGCAGGTGTATGGCTTCTCCCCGGTGTGGATTCGAATGTGGACCAGCAGCTCATCGCTCCTGATGAAGGCTTTGTCGCACACCTTGCAGGTAAACGGCCGCTCACCGGTGTGGGTCCTCCGGTGGGCCGACAGGCCGCCGCTCTGGCTGAAGCTTTTCCCACAGACGTTGCACAGGTAGGGCCTCTCTCCTGTGTGGGTTCTGCTGTGGATGGTGAGGTGACCACTGGAGGTGAAGCTCTTCCCGCAGGTGTTGCAGGTGAAGGGCTTGTCGTCGACGTGGATCCTCATGTGGAAGGTGAGGTTGCTGCGCTGGCTGAAGCGCTTGCTGCAGGTCGGACAGGAGTAAGGTTTCTGACCCGTGTGGGTTCTGATGTGGACCAGCATGTTGTCGTATTTGATGAAGTTTTTCCCGCAGACCTGGCAGGAGTACGGCCGCTCGCCTGAGTGGATCCGGAGATGAGCCTTCATGTTGTAACTCTGAGTGAAATGTTTTCCACACACGTCACACTGAGAGGGCTTTCTATTCGGGTCGGAACCGGTCCCAGCCTCAGAACTGACAGATGTTCCTACACTGCCAGGTTCCTTCTCTGCTTCTTCATCACCTCTTTTCTGATCCACCCTCTCAGCCTCAGCAGAGCTTTGGGACCGGGCCTGGTTCTGCTCTGGTTCTGGTTTGTCTGGGTCAGTTTCCTGCTCCTGCTGCAGCACCAGCTCCTCCTCATCCTCACCAATGTGCACTTCTACATATTCATCTTTGTCCAGCTCATGCTCTGATTCCTCCTGTTCTTCTTTAATCTGTGGGAGTTCTGGTTCCTCCGGGTCCACACCAGAGCTCATCTCGTCCAGAACCGGCCTGCAGGTGGAGGTCTGCGGGGGAACTGGAGGAGAAACAGAGATCAGAGAAGAAGAACGGATGCTGCTCCGCTGCGTCTGCAGAACCCAGCGAAGATTAAAACGGAACAGAAAAACAATTCAATCCCATCTGAGGGAAACAGTCACAACTTATTAACAAAACATCACTGAACAGTAAAAACTGATTTTCAAGCTTTAAATTGGGAATCCATGAGTTTTAAGGTTTTAACCATCGAATGGTTTCAATATGAGCAATAATAACTTTTCTGATATTTTCTTCTCTTTATTCATGGACTTCATCGCAGCAACAGTTTTTATGTTCTCTGTGTAATAAAGATTTATTTTGGATCAGGGTTCGGGTCACCCTGAGCTGGACCAACCGACTCTGAGCAGAACATTCAGAACTTCTAATTAATATTCTGTCTGCTATTTTATTCTAATTTAACTCTCTGGATCTCAGGATGTTTTTCCTTTGGTGAAACCAGAACTTACCAACCCATGGTCCTGGTACCAGCTTGGTGAGACAGGTCCAAATTCTGACCCGCTTGGTCCAGTTTTATGAATTCAGAGTTTATAGAATCGGATCTGGCTCCGTTTACCGGACCTCTCACTGGACCATCAGAACCACCCTGTGACAAACAGAAGCTGGTTCCGAGCTTTACCAGGTCCAGCGGACCGACCTGCGGGGTTCTGCTCGGTTCGGGTCCAGCTGAGGTCCAGCAGCCTCCGCTGCCGGTCGATCTCCTCCTCGTACCGGACGATGGTTTTTCCAGCTGGGTGAAGATTTCTTCAGCAGCAGCAGTTAGTCTCTCTCTGATAAACTCCCTCAGAGGCTCAACGGAACACATTGTTGCTGCGCAGAACCGCAACAGAACCGCAGCAGAACCCGGACGCGCTCATAACATCCTCATACTGCCCCCTGCTGGACGGGAGTGAAACGGCTGGAAAATGTAAACAATCTGAACCAAAAAGTTTGTGTTTGAATTTTATTTCGACTCAGTTGTTATTAAAACTGTTACTGGATTAAGAAATACACCAAATAAAAGTTTAAACATATAAATCTACATGTAAAAGATTTGAAAAGCCAGAAGGTTTAGAAATGACACAAGAGCGAACAGATAATTAAAGTTGATCACAATGACGTCAGTAATCAGATTACAGTTACTTATGTTGGTTCCATTTTCCTCAGCATGTTGTTGTTTCTTCCTGTTCAACACAAACAGTGGAGGAAACAAAGATTCACGTTTTATAGCTGGAAATCCACATATTTACAGTTTGTGAGCTAAAGATGAAAATCAGCTGATGGACAGACAGGAAACGCCCCCTAGTGGAGGACGGAGGAAGTACTAATCGATTCAGAACAAACTGCTGATTCTGATACAAATCACAACTTCCTTGAATAAAACTACACAAACATTTACACGAACAATTCAATAGTTTTCTTCTTCCTGTATTTACATTGTTGTTAAGATTATGTAAAACTTATATTATTAATTTTAAACCTTTTGTTTCTGTCAGCTGCACAGAATCATTTAGCTCTGCCTTGATGGATCCTACTAAACTATCCATCTTCAGAAATGGAGTTTCTGGATAGTTGCATTTCTGCCATAGGTGTGTCCTCCTCAGGCGGCGGGTCACATGACTCACGCTGCAGCGCTCCCCACAGGTGGGGCAGGAGAAGCTTCTCTCCGCGTGGAGGTGCAGATGAACGATCACTCCACCCACAGGTCTGCCAGGTGGAGTGATCTCCTGAGAGATCAGCTGGGCTCCTGTTGGTTCTGGTTCCATCTGGTCCAGTTTAAAACCAATATTCACCAGGAAGGAACCAGTCTGCTCTTCATCCTGACTGATGGAGACAACATCACACTCCTCCTTCCCCCTCACAGGTTCTGGTTCCTCTGCTTCTTCTGGTTCCGGCTTTATTTGAAGAGGTTCTGGTTCTGGTTCTGGTTCTAGCTTAATCTGCAGGAACTCAGGTTCCCAAAGTTCAACTTTAATTTCCAGAGGTTCTGGTTCTGGCTTCATCTCCAGTGTTTTACTCTATGCAAAAATTATTGATACTGTGGTTCCATGTCTTTTTTTTATTGTTTTAAACTCAAAGGAAATTTTCCACCATGTTAGATCAAATAGTTTAATCTTATTTTTTTCTGTGTGTAAAACTCCAATAACAAAAATGATACACAGCACCATAAAATCTGTTTAACAACCAGATGTGTTTGTCATTGACTTTTGCTCAGTTAAATTCTTCATGTATACATTTAAATGTTTTTTATTATAATTCATCATGTTGCTTTTCATGTGTCCTTGTTTCTTTTGTTCCTCCTATAATTAATGGAGATATATAAATATTATTTATAATGTACACATTATAAATGTATTGTTTATGTCATTTAATTAACTCTACATTGTTCAGAAAATTTAAAAAATATTTTAGAAAATATATTGTTTATGGTTCCAGTAATGTTGCAATTGATAGTAAATAAGACTTTGTGTTATTCCGATTTAGTAATGTAATGATATTAGTTGTGTTACCTCCCCACGCCACTAGAGGCAGCATCAGGCCCAAAAGATGCAACTGAGGAGCAGATTTAGAAGAACAGAGGAAGCTACAGAATCTGTTAAAACTGTGAGCTGCAGTAAATAAAAGAGAAGTTTAAATACCTGCTGAGAGAGAAAATCCTTCCTAAAGGTGAAACTATATCTCAGATTAAAAAAACAAAATAAAAATGGGAGGATAATATAGGAAACAGCGCCCCCTTCACTTCCGGAGAGCAATGGTCCCATTTCCATATAAGGTCTGAGACACAGCGGTCCGTCGCCTTCCTGTTAGCTGCACCAGGTGGACTTACTGTTTCCCCTAAAAACTCATTTAAAAGCCTCAAAAACAACAGAGGCGGATCTATGGAAGCCAATCTGGTAATAAATAAATCAAATAATAATCTGAGGAACCGAGATCATTTATTGTATTTTGCTGACAGAACGGCGGAAACGGGTTTCCGACAGCAAAAAGTTGGATGTTCTGAAAAAACATCCTTAAATGAAATAAAAGAAATTAAAAACGTTGCAGTCGCGTTTAGACTGTTGTAAAGGAAACAGAAACATGATCATGTGATGGCAGGTTGTTGTTGTCGTCAGCTGGATCCCCAGAGATCTGCAGCTCAAAACAGCCTGAAGCCAAAACTGCAGCACAAACAGCAGCAAGTTCTGAGCTTTCAGAACCCAAAGTTTGTTTTCAGCTTCTGGTTGACCAACATCTGCAGCCCAACAGTCTGTAAAGCCTCAGAACCGGTTCTGGTTCTTCTGGGTTCACAAAGTTTCTCCACATCTGGACATTAAACACAAAAAAAAATCACACGACAAGAAGAAAATATTTCATAAAGTTAATAAAACGACAGATTTATTTGACATTTAATGTTTCAGTTATAATAAAGTTGGAATGAAAAATAAAACTTCAATAATAGAGAGAAAAAAAACAATAAAACAAAATATAATAATAATAATAATAATAATAATAATAATAAATATAATAATAATGTCTATTAAATCGGCTCAGCTGCAGTTCAGTGTAGCGGAAAATAAATGTCTTTTGTGTTTCAGTTCCTGCAGGACGATGAAGACGATGAAGATGATGAAGGCTTGTTGTCCTCCTCTTCCTCACTGTAATTAGTCTGAGCTGCAGCTGCGAGCGACGCCCCCTGGGAGATGCCGCCCTGAGCTCAGCCGCTGAGACTCAACACTTCAGAGCAGAACCTCCAGCAGCAGCACCGACAGACAGAACCAGAACCAGAACCAGAACCAACAGACGGTCTGAGACCATGGACGGGGGACAAAGCTGCGGCGCGCGGGACATCCTGAGGGGACGCTGCCAAGGAGCTCAGAGGACCGGCAGCAACATGATCCGAATCTTCATTAGCTCCAGCTTCACAGGTCAGTTCTGCTCCAGGACCCGGTTCTGGAGGTCCGGGTTTTCTGATGGTTCTGGTTCAGACAGGTAAACACCTGGAGCCTCATGGAAACACAGAAACTTTCTCAGCCAGTAAAAAAGAACCAGAACCGACCCGAAACCTCTGAGAAGTTTTGGTTTGAATCTTTTATTGTAAATTATGAAACTGAATGTTTTTTAGCCTCAAACCAAAACGATTCATGGGAAATGAAATCATGGATCTGTGGTGCAGACAGAAACGTTGGGGTCGGTTCCCCTCAGAACATCCACCAGTTCTGGTTCTGCTGTCGGTTCTGGTTCTGCTGTCGGTTCTGGTTCTGGTTCTGGTGTTGGTTCTGGTTCTGCTGTCAGTTCTGGTTCTGGTGTCGGTTCTGGTTCTGGTGTCGGTTCTGGTTCTGGTGTCGGTTCTGGTTCTGCTGTTGGTTCTGGTGTCGGTTCTGGTTCTGGTGTCGGTTCTGGTTCTGGTGTCGGTTCTGGTTCTGGTGTCGGTTCTGGTTCTGCTGTTGGTTCTGCTGTTGGTTCTGCTGTTGGTTCTGGTTCTGCTGTTGGTTCTGGTTCTGGTTCTGGTGTTGGTTCTGGTTCTGCTGTCAGTTCTGGTTCTGGTGTCGGTTCTGGTTCTGCTGTTGGTTCTGCTGTTGGTTCTGGTTCTGGTGTCGGTTCTGGTTGCTGTTGGTTCTGGTGTCGGTTCTGGTTCTGGTGTCGGTTCTGGTTCTGCTGTTGGTTCTGGTGTCGGTTCTGGTGTCGGTTCTGGTGTCGGTTCTGGTGTCGGTTCTGGTTCTGACAGCAACGTCTCCTCCCTGGTTTCCGTGCAGACATGAGCGTGGAGAGGAAGGTTCTGTTGGACCAAGCGTACCCGCAGGTTCTTTCGTTCTGCCGCCGTCTGGGTCTGGTCTTTGAGGTCGGTCCTTCATCACTCAGCACCAAGAGAAAACATCTCCATGAAATGATGTAAGCGTTCTGTGAGTGACGTCACTTCCTGTGCAGGTGGTGGATCTGAGCTGGGGGATCCGGACCTTCCCGTACGGAGACCATGAGGCCAGCGAGATCGTCCTGCAGGAGATCCAGACGAGTCAGAAGGTTTCTGCTGGACCGGCCTTCGTGGTGAGTTCCCAACGTTCTCTCATTGGCAGAACCGCAGCCAATGAGAGAACTGCTGCAGAAATCGTTGACGAACGGCAGGACAGATTCTGTACGTCCAGAAAGTGACGCTGCAGGTTCTTTACGCCTCGGTGATGCTGGTTGTGCTTTGATGTTCTGCATCTGTCCATGTGATCACATTTGCTTTGCTTCTCCTCATGTCCTCATGTTTGGGTTCCAAAGGGCCTGCTGGGGAGCCGGTACGGTCACCGACCTCTTCCTCGTCTCATCCCAGAAAAGCAGTTTGAGGTTCTTCTGTCCAAGCTGTCCAAGAACCCAGAAGGTGTTCAGCAACTGCAAGAGTGGTTTCAGAAGGACAGCAACTCTGTGCCACCCACCTACGTTCTCCAGCCAATCGCTGCACGATTCCCACACTACGATGACCTCCGACCTGAGGTGGCAAAGCTCCATGACGATGACCTTCAGTCCTGGCAAATTACAGAGAGTCAACTGCTGCAGCTGCTGCGCTCTGCAGCCGCTGAGGCTGAGACGGATGGAGACATCACGCCCCAGCAGAAGCGGCTCTTCTACTCGTCGGGTGAGAAATGTCCTCCGGCATGGACATGTCCCCAAGCTTGTCTTTTTGGTCCAGGAGGACTAACATTTCTCTGCTTGTCATCCAGTCACAGAACGGGCCCTAGAGGAGGGCGTCTGGAAGGACAACTGCCAAATGTCTGCCTTGCTCTTCGTCCGGGAGATTCCTCGGCAAAGGATGAAGGACGGATCCAAACGTCTGGCCAAGTTCGTGGACCTCACTGCGGGTGGTCTGCTGGATGCTGAAGCTCAGGAGTTGCTCACCGGCCT